GCCATATCTCCCTCGTCAAGGGCGTGCCCTTCTTTGGGTACAACGTCGGGTACAAGACTTTTTTGAAAGTCTACATGCTCAATCCTATGCACATGACGCGATTCACCGATCTTCTACATCAGGGAGCAATTCTGAACAAGGTGTTCCAGCCATACGAGAGCCACTTACAATACCTCCTGCAATGGATGTGCGATTATAACTTGTACGGGTGTGGCTATATCAACTGCGGCAAGGTACAATTCCGAGGACCCGTTCCAGACAGTGACGAGGTAGATGTCACTGTGCATAAGTGGCACGATGCCTCTATTCCTGATGAATTTATGGCCGATGAGGATCAGTATCCGCGTCAAAGCCACTGCACCCTCGAGGTCGATATATGTGTTCAAGACATCCTGAACCGACACGAATTACAATATCGACCCATCCATCATGATTTTCTGGAACGTTCGAGCCAACTGCCTCGCAATCCAGACGACAAGTTTGTGCCATCAATGGCTGGTCTATGGCGAGATGAAACTCGTCGGAGAAAACGTCGCATGGGCCTTTCCGATCCTTCGAGCAGTCCATTCCCAGCCGAAGTCCTCGTGTCAATGTCGGCGGATGAACGAGACACGAAGAAAGGTGGATGGATTCACGAAGAGGAATATCGAGAAATTGTCGAAAACTTGATTGTCGAGGAAAGACGAGGACAAGGAGAAGCAAGACTGGATACTTTCGTGAAGCCCGTCGCTGGGCAAGAACACATTAGGACTGCTGTAGAGAGCATCGAAGATCTCTATCCCGAGATTCTTTCTACACAACAACTCCCAAATGACGAGACCGAACTAGATGATGATTATCTGACAGAAGACGATGATGCGCCTATTGATGTTGGAGCCCGGCTGGCATTCGATGAACCGGGACCAAACCAGCTGCACAGTGACGCCACTACTGGCGACGAGCAAAATGAGAATCCAATAGACGCCGGCAATCAGTCCGATACTGAAGAGCAACAATCACTGGATCCCTTGACTGCATCATTACTCAAGGGTTCTAGCGACATGGAAGCTGAAGATGTGCTCATCGACGAAGGCATTGATTTGGTCGATCCGAACGATGATGGCGAACCACCCAGTAGCCCGATAAACACACGGAAGCGCTCTCTTGATTCTATAGACGAACAAGACAAGAAGCGTCAACGAGTAGCGGCCGTAACGCCGGGTACGAACAAACGCGTTTCGTTTCGCAATGCCCTTAACAAGGGTGAAGAGTCGCATCACCCTGTTCAGGCTTCGCAAGGAAGTACTAAAGCTCAGGGTCTGGGAGAACCTACTACACTTTCGTTTCCCGTAGTGAAGAATCCAAATGCACCGGGGACGATACTTCGCTTGAGCCAATCGAGGTATTCAAACCCACAAGAAGGACCAAAGACACCCGGACCGAAGTATCTTGAGGCAAAAGCCTCGCAGCACTCCCCTACGACTCCTTGGACGCACCAGAAGACTTCGCCTATGATGCTGAATAGCAATACCCCGAAAGCTCGCACCCAAGCAGCCTCTCTAGTGCAGCGATTGGAAAAACTACAGAAGCACATGCATCCTACTGTCTACTATGGCTCTCTACCTCCATCGGTTGAGGTTGTTGAAGGTACTTGGATGCATGCTGGACTTCCGCCGGTAATCTATCAGGATGCCTACTATAGCGAGGACAAGGATGTTCCGGATCGACCGAGAAATTATGCGGGTAAAGAGTTCATCCTACAGAACACTACGTTACCGTATCTTCCTCCGTTCGACCCCACCGGTGCGTCTCTTGCCAACATCGGAGAGTATCCGCTTGCTGTGGTAGACAAAAACAAGGAGACTACAACGAACCAAGCAAGGTCACGTCGTTGTGGCCTGCGTCATTGGGAGCTTGCTACACCTCCACCTACCTTCAAGGAAGTTGAGAGATGGAACAATCGGCGACCGAAGCCACGCAAGGTAGCGAAGTGTAAATCCGAAGCAGAGGAGCTGACGCCAGCAATATCACGCAAGTTCAAGTCCATGAGTCATCTTTCACAAATCGAAGGTCCAACACAGAAGAATCCGCATGGCTTCAAATACTCTTTAAAACAAGATACGACCAGCGTTAAGCACGAGTCTCAATACATGAGCATCATGAGCTTAGAATTACACGTAAATTCCAGAGGTTCTCTTGTACCAGACCCAGCTGAGGACGAGATCCAATGCATTTTCTGGACCGTGCAGGGTGAGGAAAATGCGACTACCGACCGTCCACGTACCGGCATTTTGTGCTTCTCTGACGAAGACGGTATCGCTGAACGAGTTGCTAAGCAAGCCCCAGTAGAGGTTGAATACGAGGAAGATGAGTTGGATCTGATCAACCGCGTAGTCGATATCGTCCGCCAGTTCGATCCGGACATACTCACTGGATATGAAGTACACAACAGCTCTTGGGGCTACCTCATAGAACGTGCGAGGATGAAGTACGAGTACAATCTGTGCGATGAGATCAGCAGGATGAAGTCGCAATCCCATGGCAGGTTCGGAAAGGAGGCCGATCGATGGGGCTTTACACATACTTCGACTATTCGAATCACTGGCCGCCACATGATCAACATTTGGAGAGCTATGCGAGGGGAGCTAAACTTGCTTCAGTACACTTTGGAGAACGTGGCCTTCCACTTACTCCACAAGCGCATACCACACTACCAGCATTCTGATCTTACGACTTGGTATCTAAGTGGCAAGCCACGAGATCTGGCAAAAGTGATCGATTACTTTCTAACACGCGTACAACTTAATTTCGACATTCTGGAAGCCAATGAGACTGTGCCTAGAACTAGCGAGCAAGCTCGCCTGCTTGGCGTGGATTTCTTCGCAGTCATCTCGCGAGGCTCTCAGTTCAAGGTAGAATCTACCATGTTCCGTATCGCAAAGCCCGAGAACTTCATCCTTGTTTCACCAAGCCGAAAGCAGGTCGGTCAACAGAATGCGCTTGAGTGTCTACCTCTGGTGATGGAGCCGCAGAGCGCGTTCTATTCAAGCCCGGTGCTTGTCTTGGACTTCCAATCGTTGTACCCTAGTGTGATGATCGCTTACAACTATTGCTACTCAACATGTCTTGGACGTATTGTCAGCTGGCGAGGCCAGAACAAGATGGGTTTTATGGACTTCAAGCGCGAGCCGCAATTGTTGGAGCTGGTGAAAGATCACATCAACATTGCGCCAAACGGTATGATGTACGTCAAGCCAGAGATGCGGAAGTCGCTATTAGCGAAGATGCTCGGTGAGATCTTAGAGACTCGCGTGATGGTCAAGAGTGGGATGAAGCAGGACAAAGACGATAAAACATTGCAACAGCTGTTGAACAACAGGCAGTTGGCATTGAAGCTACTAGCAAACGTCACCTATGGATATGCGTCTGCGTCGTTCTCCGGTCGCATGCCATGTTCGGAGATCGCGGACAGCATCGTCCAGACTGGTCGCGAGACCCTCGAGAAAGCTATTGCGATCATTCACGCAACTGAGAAGTGGGGTGCAGAAGTCGTCTACGGAGACACTGATTCACTTTTTATCCACCTCAAAGGACGCACCAAGGACCAGGCATTCACCATTGGCGAGGAAATTGCTGCAGCCATTACCGCAGCGAACCCACGACCGATCAAACTTAAATTCGAGAAGGTATACCATCCTTGCGTTCTACTTGCGAAGAAGCGCTACGTAGGCTTCAAGTACGAGCACCGGAACCAGAAGGAGCCGGACTTCGATGCAAAGGGAATCGAAACAGTCCGTCGGGACGGTACACCTGCGGAGCAAAAGATCGAAGAGAAAGCCTTGAAGCTTTTGTTCCGCACGGCAGACCTCAGTCAAGTAAAACGCTACTTCCAAGAACAATGCGCGAAGATCATGGAAGGTCGCATCAGCATCCAAGACTTCCTCTTCGCAAAAGAAGTCAAACTAGGCACATACTCTGATAGAGGTGCTCCACCACCCGGTGCCCTCATTGCCACAAAACGGATGCTCGCCGACCCGCGTGCGGAGCCTCAGTATGGCGAACGTGTGCCCTACGTAGTCATCACTGGCGCACCTGGAGCCCGCCTTATCGATCGCTGCGTCAGCCCCGAAACCCTACTGCAGAGTGATCATCTGGAGCTCGACGCGGAGTACTACATCAGCAAAAACCTCATTCCACCACTTGAACGCATATTCAACCTCGTTGGCGCCAATGTACGGCAATGGTACGACGAGATGCCCAAGACACAACGCATCCGCAACGTTTCAATTCCCATGGTTCTCAGAAATGATAAAAGCAATGCTGTTCACGCTGGTGGTAACACATCTCTCAAGAAAACACTGGAGAGCTACATGAAATCCTCACATTGCATGGTCTGCCGTTCGAAACTCACTACTTCCGCACCAGCACAGTTTCCACGTGGCGAAGTCAAACCATACGCTATGCTGCCACTATGTGTGAGCTGTCTCAAGCGTCCGGCGCATTCGCTACTATCGTTGAAGTATCGCGTCTGGGACACCGAGACACGTGTATCGCAGGTTGAAAGTGTATGCCGGCGATGCTCAAACATAGCCTGGGGCGAGGAAATCAAATGTGACAGTAGGGACTGTCCTGTATTCTACACGCGCATCAAGGAACGTTCAAGATTATTGGCATTGCAGGATAGTGTCTTTCCTCTCATTGAATTAATGGAGAAAGAAGATGATGAGACATACCTAGAAAGGGAAGAAAGCAGAGTGAGGGATGCGAGTAAAAAACTGGCTTGGTGAAGTTTTCGCCATTAGCTTGAGTATTGGTCACACATATCCATTCCAGTGCAAGCTACTTCGAATCCAAAAACGTATAACAAGCCTTAATCTTTCCACCTACGATAGTCAGGATATCCTCACCCACCAGCCCCATCTCCGCACTGCCAGATCTCTTGATACCCCATTTCACCTTCGTCACCCACACATCATCTTCACCATCATGTTTTAAGCACTCAACATCATCTGAATATCCAATCAGTTCTTCTCATCAGTCAAGAGCTCATTGCGACCTGAAAGCTTACCTAGAGCAACAAACTCATCGCCTGCTTCGCCCATACTTTGTATTTTGTCCACCATTTCACTAATGGCCTCGTGTGACTTGAAAACACCTAGTGCATCTACAAACAGCACATCTGCGCTTGGTACCCAGAGATCGGCGATGGCTTGCATACGTGTGGGAACGTCTTTCTGACCGAAGATGGATGAGAGGTTGAGGAGTGTTAGGGATTTGGCACGGGACTGGGGGGTTGACATCTCTGTAAATGACGAGGTAAAGAGAGAAGTAAACGATCTGAGGGATATTGTGTTATGTGAAAAAGTTCACAACTCGAAACGAGTGAGAGACCAGGGGTTTACGGGTCGGTGCTGTATTATATCAAGATGAGTCGTGAGTAAGCAAAAGCTATATGCACTAACGGAAATGGGTAGGAGAAAGAACCCTGCTCATGCAGCAGCAGTTTTGACATGGGTTAGCAGCCGCAGTCGTGACGATAGAGAAGCAGTTGATTATAACCAACACAGAGAGGTCTCGATTCAATGCGAGGGTCTACTGGCATATCAGTAATGTAGCATGAACTCTCTTCTATATATTGTCGCCATCCTCCAGCTCTACAATGAGAACATCTAGACCATCAACATCTTTGTAAGGTGGAGGTGGTGGACTCATGTAAGGTGGAGGTGGTGTTGAGTTCACCAAATAAGTATCCAGGCAGGGCTCGCCTTTAGCAATAACGGGTAGCCATGTATCGACTTCATTGCGACGCACAGCATCGATCTCACCTAATTCGCAATCGATTTCTGTGCTCTCCAAACGTTGGACAACCAAACACGCTATTTCGATTGCGAGGTAGACGATAAGGAACTGGAGAAAGATGGTAGCCATGATGATGAATGCAATCGATGACAAGAATGCGTCTTCAATGTCCTCATGGGAGGACTCCATTATGATGGGGAGTTCGAACTGCCGATCTCGAAACATATCGGACATGTGGATATCGGGTTTCAAAGTTAGTTGACGCGGTGTTGGTTGACGTTCCTTTCCAAGTCGTGCTAAGAAGCATGAGCTGATTCAATGTATACCTGGACGCGGCATTGTGAAGTAGGTGTTGTGTAATTTTGATGCGTTTCCTTGTGAAAAACGCGGGATTATTACCATAGAAGGTCTATACATCATGTTGAATGCATGCTGTGGCTACAGAAGTCAACACAGAAGGAGGCTTCAGGACGGAGTTGCAGCGACAGGCGGGGGCTGGGCAGTGCAGGATGTGTTACTAGTACGAATAAGGGTTAGTACATGCCCTTGACCGTTTTCCTACCTAGGTGGCCAGCCGGACGACTGATCTGCGCCCTCTACAACTTAGCCGCCATCAGCACTATCTCCCTTAAGATTCTTTCCTTTTCTTGTCGCTGGTTTCACCTTGGAAGTAATCTCCCGTTTTTGGTCGTGTGCTAATGCTCAGTCTTTCGTCCTTGGCAGTACTTTACTCCTGTATCTTCAGCGAATCGCTGAGCGATCACGGAAGCGCAACCATTTCAAAAAGCATATCAGTGGCTTACAAAGGTATTGAGAACACGCATAAGCACTTGCGGGGTTAGCCTGTACAATGGCTGCATTCAGTTTCAGTTTAAATAGCAAGGGACTATGACGCCAAGTCCACGCACGTACGGAATAAATCTTACGATGTTGGGGATGAGCCTTTTGGTCTGCTGGAGGCCTAGATTCTTAGGGGCAACATTCATTGGCCTGGCTTTGGTGAACGGTAGGACTGAATCGCTCTAGTTGTATTTCACTGGAGGCCCTCTGATCGCCGTGGGAACGAATCTCACGCAAGGCGGAATCCTGCTGATAGCTGCCATCGAAGCTAATGTGGACTGCCAACGGATGATGGCGGAATATCAGCATATCAGCAAGGTTGCTTTGCCGGTCGCTGTATGCATTGAGAACAAGACGCATCTGGGGTAGCTGACAGCACGTCGTGTGTGATTTGCTAGTGGCTTCCAAGCATGTTCTATGACCTATCAAAGCAGGGTGATGATATCACTAGCTCTTACCTCTCTCGCAGTCACCCATATGAAGAAGAAGGCTCCCGATTACAAGCCTGATGGGCAAATCGACTCTTATCTTCAGCAGTGTCAACGCACATTTTTCGAATAGCCTTGCAAACTCCTGCAGCATTGCATACTTTACTACCACATCTATTGGAACAACACAAAGCCTTTTGATTCAGTGCATATTAGCAGCCATCGCTTGTGACCTTGTCACATTGTTTGTCCGTACTTAAACGCCCAAGATGGCGACCTTCGAGAGGGGTAGCTCAGTGCTTCCTAAGATCCTTCAAAACCTCACGGCTTTACAGATTTCAATTACCGTAATCGTTCTTGTAGGAATACAGTCATGGCCATTGATTCGATATGGTAGTCTGATATAGCAGTAGTTTTTCACAAGATGGATCGTCCAAGGTATTTACCGATTATACTTCCATCCATTGAGCCACTTCCCCGGCCCAAGATTTTCCGCTTTCACCCGCATACCAGTAAGTGTGCCTTCACGAACTGGAGGTGAGAGTTACACTAATCTCATGGAATCGTATTTAGCAACTCTACGCTACGTTTACGGGTAGATTGCCGTTCTACGTTGCTGACTGTCACAACAAATATGGACATGTTGTGCGCATATCACCCTACGAGATCAGTTTCACCAACTCTGAAGCATGGCGGTAAGATCTCAAAGCCTACAGAACATGCTTATCACTGACCTCGTGCCTTTAGTGATATCTACGGTTACGGGTCCAAAACTGGTCGTGGCTCCGCGCCTCCAAAACATTGGCCCCGCTACGGTACAAATCCTAACGGCGTGCCTTCCTTACTCCAAGATCCAGACGACATAAATCATGCTCGCGTACGTAAGATCTTTAGTCCAGCGTTCTCGGAACGCGCTATCAAGGAGCAAGAGCCACTGTTCATGAAGTACGTCGACGATTTAGTACAGATTCTCAAAGACGGAACCGTCTCAAGCACTACCGGCACTGCAACATACGATGTGGTCGACTTGTACAGTTTCACAACCTTTGACGTGATGAGTGATCTTACTTTCGGAGAGTCCCTCCATATGCTCAAGACTGGCACCTACGACCCATGGGTGGGTACCGTTCTCGGCTTTATGAAAGCAAGCTTGCAGATCAACGTAGTAGTAGCGAACTACCCGCTCGCTGCCAAGGTTCTGAAACCCATCATGGAATTTCTATTCTCGAAAACGCGATCCCGACTATTCGATACAAACAGCAAGCGAGTCGCAAAGAGGTTAGAGAAAGGGCGAGAGAGTAAAATTGGAGTTGACCTGTGGGATCTAGTGCTGAATCAGGAAGAGAAGGGCAAGCAGGGTCTGAGCAGGGGAGAGATGGATAGTAATGCTACTACGTTCATGGTAGCAGGCACAGAGACTACGGCGACATTGTTGACCGGACTGACCTACCTGCTACTGACGCATCCAGAATGTCATGCGAAACTTGTCAAAGAGATCAGAATCACGTTTCAAGAAGAGGCAAACATCAACATGGAGGCTATCGTAAAACTACCCTACCTCAAAGCATGTATCAGTGAAGCTTTTAGGTTGTATCCGCCCGTTGCAGTAGGGTTATTGCACCTGACCCCTAGCGATGGATCGACAGTATGCGGACACTTTATCCCACCAAACGTAAGTTCACATATATCACGTCAAGGAAGTAAACCTAGCTAATTCGTTTACCCCATAAGACTACCGTATCAGCAACGCACTACGCCATGTACACTTCCGCCAACAACTTCACCGACCCCCTTTGCTTCATCCCCGAACGCTGGATCGACGATGCAAGATTCGCAAATGACGATCGTGCGGCTGTGCAGCCGTTCTCTGTAGGCCCAAGAGATTGTTTGGGGAAGAAGTAAGATTTGCAACAAATGTGACTGTGACGTCTGACTGACTGGTGTGATAGCATGGCGTACCATGAGATGAGACTGATTATTACGAAAGTACTGTGGAACTTTGATCTGGAATTGCCTGAGGGGAACGGGAATTGGTTCGACCAGACTGTGTTTACGCTCTGGCAGAAGGGACCGTTGAACGTGAAGGTGAGGATGGCGCAACAAGCGTGATGGGTGGAACGTCTGTGGTGTACTGTCCCTAATGACAAAAGTCGTTGTTTGTATCATGAAATGGTCATACACGTTATCAAAACATAGCCTATTTACACTGTTGAAGATATGATCATTACCATCCCCACAGTGTCTTTATCGTATCACCGAATGTCGCTTGACCAGCCTCTTTTCTCTTCATACGAGCTACCCGTTCTTCGATGAATGTCTGCTCCAGTTGTTTTGAGACACCAGTCTGCGCGCGGATTTCACCTACTATAGCCATTCTCTCAATCTCTCGCTCTTCTGGTGTCAAACTTTGAAGCTTCTTTTCGTACTCCTTTCGTACATCGGGCTTTATCTGGCTCCAGACCTCTGTGTCATCCAAAGTGGTACTTGACTTGCCAATCTCAGCTACAGGTACAGCTTTCCGTGGTGTTGACGATGCGCCACCCACTGCGTCGACGACATTTCGTTTCGACAAGATGCTTTCGAATTTTGGTACTGGTCGCCCCTCTGCTTTCGCCTTCTCCATCTCCTCTTCTTGTTGTATCATGCGCTGGTAGAGTTTGTCTGCGTGCATTTGTATCCGCTCGTCTTCCTCTGGTGATCGTTCGTCCATGGTCATGTATCCCAGCGCCTTCAGAAACTTGGATTGTATATCGTAGCAGCGGTTGAACTTGCGCGACTCGGCGATGCACATGGTTCCTGCTGACCACCACGACTTTGGATTTCGGAAGCATTCAAATTGTTCCATGTACTCGAGTGCACAGTTTTCCATGGCTACTCGTCCAATTGAGGCTTTGCGGTCGTTGTAGGCGTCTACGAGGTCTCGTAACCGGTCTTGCTCCGACTTTCCACGATCATCGATGATATTTTGAGGGGTATAATTCTTCCATAAGTCGGCATAGCGGCCATCCTGGAACTGCGATTGCGGCGGTACGACGGGTTTTTGAGCTTCTGTTTGCGTTTGCGGTTGCGATTGGGATAGCGTGTGAGTTGGCGATTCGGTGGGCTTTTCTTTGGGAGCGGGCGGCAGTGAGGGTTTCGGGCCAGTGGGCGCTTCTTTTTTGAGGAAGTCGCGGAGGGAAGGATCGAGTTGGTCTTGCCCGTTGGAGCTATCGCCGCTTCCCCAGAGCCAGCCCATGGTTGCGTCGGAGTATGTCTTGGTTCGTGTTGGCGCGGTGAGCAGGTGAAAGTTCCCAAGTTGCGGGGACAGTGAACATGGGTTCGGCAGTCCGAGCTTTGGGACATGTTCTAGCGCGTCGGTCTCACAACATCGACTGGATTACGCGACGAGACGACACCAACCAAGACAATTGTTACGACTGACATTGTTATGGCGCCAGTCGGTAAGTCTTGTTGTTCCATAGTCCTGGATCTGGGACCAGTGCTTACAAGCTCGTAGATCGCCGCGAACATCGACAACAACGCGTGCGCGGTGCTGGGTAAGACAATCTTAGAGATCTCGAGATACGCAAACGCTGACAACTACAGACCCTCATCTGTCCAGGCTTCTTTTGGCTTCAACTTCGGCGCTCTTGGCTCCCAACCAGCCAAACAACCCGCTCCTGCGCCTCAACCATCACCGCGTCGAACACCAGCCCGAAGTACCCCTCGCGCTGCAAATGGCTCCGCACAGCGGCAGGGAAGCGCGTCGCTCCAGCGCAATAGTGCTTCCAAACGGACAAGCACGCCGAAAGATAACACTGTAACCCCGCAATTAGGCAAGAGGAAGCGGGGTTCTCCAAACGCGCAACCGGGCGCAGACGATGGGGCGGAAGATGAGCTGAGTCCTGATCGGGAGCAGGCCGTGCGCTCCACAGAGAAGAGCAGGAGAGTCGTCGGCACAGTTCCACCTATACGTGAGGAGCAAGACAATGTACCAGACGAGTTATCTATATTGGACGAGGGCACCAGTACTGTACGCGAGACAGTCTTCGCCAGATCTACAGTAGTCAAGCGGACTCCTCCACAAGTCTCGTCGCAAATACGCGCGTCCTCTGGAAGCTCCCGCAAAAAGACTCCCGGTACCGACAGAGTCGAGGAAGCGTCGGTCGCATCACGGCCATCAACATCAAGACGATCCAAATCTACGGATCCTGGCCCAGCCACACCCAGTGTGCTTCCGAACGGCCAACCGAGAACATCGTCAGCTTTACAGTCCGGAACTGTTCTTGAAACACCGACCGCAGCTCCAGCGCATGAAGATGGTGAGGATGAGTTATCGCCACAACTCAATGGATCCACACCACGAGTGGTTGGTAGCGAACCGCGGCCACAGCCAATGACACAAGCAGAGACAGAAATGCACGTAGACGAGCTCTCTCCACCCAGTCAACCGACTCCAATCCAAGTATCACCAATAGCAAATGGCATATCAACGCTACAAATTAATGAGCATGAACCTGTGGAGCAAACCACTACACCGCTGCTGGCCAAACGCGGAAGACCGCGACGTGTTTCGGAGAATGAAACTGCCGAGCAGGAAACCCTTCCGGAACCCGCTACGGCGAAGCCCGCCAAACGAGGAAGGTCGCCACGAGTAGTAGACGATATCCAGAAAGAAGAGACACCTCAAGCAAAACCTACTAAGCGTGGCAGACCAAGGAAAGAAGTTGCAGTCCAGCAAAGCGAACTTCAAGCAACGCCACGCGTGCACAAGTCAGATCAAACAAATGGCGTGGATCCTGCAGCGAAAGAAGCAGAGGTTGTCGACGAACTCTCCCCTTATCATGAATGGACGCCTATTCACCCTCCGAAATCGACCACACGGAAAAAGGATGTTGTAGAAATCTCTAGTGCGGACGAAGACTCCGACGCATCAGAAGAACCGGAAGTCGAAGAACCAGCGGAACCTTCTCCACGACCTAACACAAGCAAACCATCTCCCGAACAGATGCAGCGCGTCAAATCTACGACGGAGAAGCCCCCTCGCAAACGCCAGAAGTTTGAGGGGCCGAAGCATGCCATTTCTATCATGCGTATCAAAGGCTCTACTGTTCGAGGCATCACGGTCGCAGACACTACGCGTACTATTCTAGAAGGAACAATCGACCAACGTCTCAGCCGTATGGCCGAGAAGTTGCAAGCCTCACAAGACTCCGCTCGGCGCAAGGAACTACGAACAGAGATCAACCTCTCACTGTCCTTCAAGGAGAGTCTTAACGAGAAGCTGCTAGACTTGCAGGATGCTAACGATCTCCTGAGCGCCAACTTCAAGAAAACCAAGTTGCTCAAACGCGACAATGCCGAGCTACGCAAGGAAATTCTCAGTCTCCAAGACAGCAGGCAAGAGATTGCCATCGAACACGACAATATCCAAGCACGTTACGACGCAGAGAAAGCCGAAGCCGAGGCCAGAAATACCCTGAGTGACAACATGTTTGAGATCGAAGCTGCAATAAAGAATGGGCGTGATAAGGCACGTAAGGAAGGTAGAGAAAACGAAGGTCCCCAAATTCCACTTGGCATGTTACTGGAAACAGTAGGAGATGATGTTGCCTCGCGTGGTGGCGGTCTTCTTGCCAATATTAAGGGACTCAATGGGCTCTTGGAGCGAGCTGCAGGCTGGCTCGAAGGAAGAGCCTGATTGAATAGCGAATAGCTGGATGGCGTTTATTCTTGTGTACTTTCGGATACGATACCCGGCAAAACCGCCACCTTTGATATGATATTTGTCGTTCTTACATCTCACTGTCTCCATCTTACACTGCCTCAACGCGAGTTTAGCGAAATTTGAAAAGCTATCCACGAGGTCTAGACTGCGGATAGTCCTGTTTACTGCAGTGCTACCAGGAGTAGTCGCGTGTCTGCTTCCTTTCGGTCTAGCGGCCGCTCCGCAGATCTGGGGGCATCGGATCCGCTTTCATGCACATTGCGTAACCGTGCATCATCAAAGCAGACAATGACCTTGCTGTGCGCATCACAGGGTCCAGAGAACCGTTAAGTTAACAGTCCAGCCATCTAGTCTACGCTCATCTGACAGCTCCTTCTACATTTCGTGGGTTTCTGAGGCTCCGTCTATTCCCGTGTTGACACTCGCGCTTTGCCCTTCTCAGATTTCGACTTCCAAAGGCCAAAGCTTCTCATCCTCCTCGTCTGCAATTGTACAAGGTGCATCCAGCATAGACCCTTCCTTCCAGAAAAAGCAAAAGTCTCGTAATCAGCCTTGTGTTTCGCTTTCATTAAGGACCCCATCATTGTGTAGGTGGAAAGGCGGACGAAGAGATTAGCTTCTGCCGACCTCGGGAGTATCACCGGACCTATTCCACCAAGCCTACCGTTTCTCCGAAGTTCACCGGATTGATACACGACCCAACTGACGTAGGTTGGTCTTACATCAACCAACTTCAAGATGACTCGCGGACCTATCACCTGCGACACTAGCCTCCCAAAAACACCGAAGACGACCTTAGCACCAGCCACGCCAACAACCTCGGTCGCACCCCCCAAGACCCCACCGTCGACGAAATTTCCTCGCAATCTGTCGAACAAATTCTGGGCCCAGGAACAGCAGAGAAGATTATTCCTGGAACACCTGAAACGATGGTCCTCGAGCCACGACTCGAGCACTTTCTTCCAAGGCAAGATAAGTTTGCTTCCTCCTGAGCCTGGTGTGAATGAGGGTCTGGCGCTGGGCAAGACTGTGACCTGTATCCTGACCGACTCGAGTTTTACGGATTTCAGGAAGATTGTTGCTATTAGACTTTTCAACCCGCAAAAGAACAGTAAGAAGGGCACGACAGGCCATTTTGAACGGAATATGAAGAGCAAGAGTATGGACCTACTCAGGAACGATATGAGGCTCGCTGAGCATCGAGAAGGTTGGTATACTAGAGAAGAGGATGCATGGCCATTGTCTCCGTCAAAGCTGAACCCATCGACCAGCTACTATTACAAACTCGTCATCCGTTACGGCTCTGGCTGGCTCTCAGCGCGCGACTACCTAAACAAACTCTACTTCTCGCATTTCGCAGCTCGTTTCCCAGGCCGGAATGTCAACTGCGTCACGGGCACGGCCGACCACTTTTTCGGCGTTCGTTCCAAAGCTCTTGGTCCACCACCCTGCGATAGAGACACAGTACCCATCCAGCCGCTCTTCCACCCCTTCCAGCGCCTGCCCACTGAACTCCAGGAAATGATCTTCATGACCGCCGTCGGCATGACACGCGATTGTGATCTCACCAACGACCCACGCAGAAACTGCAGCAATAACCCGAAAGCCACCGAAAGACCAATCAGTCTATCAACCATGCTACGTATCTCACGCCATATCTACACCACAATGCAACCGTATATATTCCACAGCACGACCTTTCACTTCGGCCTAAGCGGTACTACAAACTTCCTCTGGCAATCTGGACCCGTTCATCGCCCTCAGATACGGCGTCTGGCTTTCCATTTTGGGAAGAATGCTTTACTCCACTGCGTGCGTTGGTTAGCCGCAGATCCTATCTTTGATTTCCTGGAACCCCCGCAACCGAATGGTGGTTCTGGGTTACCGCTCTTCTGGCGCTGTCAGTTGCGCGCTCTGGCACAGGAAGTGCATCTTTTGGAACTTGTTGTTGATATTGAGGGGATACCGAAAGCGGATATTGCCATGGTGGTTAGGATATTAAGAGGTGTGTTTGGTAGTGTTGAGAGGGTCAAGTTTGTGGATGGTGCTGCGCGCGGTAAAACAGAGGTCGTTGACAAGGGAGACGAGAGGTTAGCTGGTCTGGGGAAAGGGTCGTGGAGGGACATGGTGAAGGGATACATCGAGAGGTATCGCCGCCAGATTGGCTGGCACAACTGGCATTTCAAGATGGACTTGGTGCCGTTGAGGGAGGAAGAGGTGGATGATCTGATGGATAAGGAGATGGAGTTCTTTGATAATTGATGACTGTGAATCGATGCTAACGATACAGGACGGGCGTTCTTTGGGTAATGATCTAAGGGGAAATGGGCTACGAATCATGAGTCATGCATTCAAATTTTCTGTATATATTGCTAGAAGTTCTTAGAATGTGTGTTATAGTTTCAGCACGACATGAGGGATCCTTAGAACATCATATCGAAGATAAAACAGGGCGGTGACTTTAAACACTGCTATTAACGCTCTACCGACAAGGTAGAAATGATAAAGCAACAGTGATGTTACAGTAAAATTGACATGCTCGTTTGATGTTCTAACGCCGCCATGACATTACTTTTATAAGAGACTTTCTTCGCCCCAGGCTTTACCAATTCAATGGCTACATGCAGAGTTTACACCACCGAGACTTGGAACATGCAGGGAACGGTTTGTAGGATGAAATGGAAACACCGTTGAAGGTGGGAAAGCTTTAATTGACATTACGCCTACGTATGCTCTGCCTTTTGAACCCATTGTCCAAACGCCAGTAGCAGAAGAAGTTGACATGGCAGGTATCCTGTAGCCTATACCAAACGCCGTGACTATGCAAACGAGACTAGAACAAGAGTAGAACAAAACGCTCACACTATACACAGCCATTGTCCCAGTAACTAAGTACTTCCATGACTCCTCAATTTTCTCCCTGCTGCAAGTCCAGGGCCGACGCTATTGCCAAAGTTTGTAATGTTCTCTACGTCACCACGGTCGCCAGCAACGCCGACCGTCTTCCTCGTCACCTTCTTCATAGGAAGCTTACTTCCATCATCGCCGTTGGTTCGCATCTTTTTACTTGGAGGGGCGCCATTGTTGAGCGAATCGCAAGATGATTGGGATACGAGACGGGGAAGAGGCTGAGTATGAGCTTCCTGCGCCACCACGTTAACATCTAGCTCCCGCAGGGAAGTGGGGTTGCCTGTTGGGATATTTGAGATGGTGTGGGCGTGCGCACTGATGGAGTGGGAGAAGTTAAGTTTATTAGCCGTGAAGGTAAAGTCGGTCGGAGAACTGAGAGTGTTTGTGGCGTCATTGAAGATAGGTTGCTTCGACGGGCTGCGCGCTGTAGAATCGGCGGTGGTGGGGCGGTCTCGGAGGCGAGAGAGGATTGTCTCGTGTGGTTCGGTGCGTGGCAGAGTTGAGGGGAAAGTGTAGGAGACGCGTTGGGGTGTTTCACCAGTGGGGTTGTACTCGATCAAGTTCTGCGAACCAACGACCTCGCGAAGCTCTTGGAGCGGCGCACGAATGTCTGCGTCTGCAGCAAGCGCTGGCAGGGTCTCTTTCAGAGTACTTGCTTGTGCTGACATGTCCGATTCGAGAGATTGAACGCGATCAAATGATGAAGATAGATGATCGCCGATGCTGGAGTAGGAAGCTGCCACTGTCGACGACAAAGCACCCAGCGACGCAATGTGAGCCGTGTGGTGGGTGTTGTTTTGTTCGCGGACTCGGGCCACGATGTCGTCTAGAGCCTGGAGTTGAGTGTCCAAGTGTGCCATCTGTGCCTCCACTGTCTTGACAGTGCTTTCGTGAACAGATGTAGTCGTGTCCTTGATCGAGGTGGAATGCTGAGTTGCAGCTGCAAAGTCTGACTTGATCTTGGTCTTGACAGCATCTCTTGACTTCGAGACACCTGTGAGGATGTCTCTCGATTTATCTGACCACGCAATAACACCATCGGCGTAGGAATCTTGCTTCGTTTCGAATATAGCATTTGCAGTATTCAGTTCCTCTCGCACAGACTGGAGCTTCTCTTCCAATCTCTTCTCCTGCGCATCAGCATTTGCGTTAACGATCGCGGTAATCTGCGACAGCAGCTGTTGGCGGTCTTCGGCCGACCTCTGCTTCTCCTCATTCACGACCTTCTCTAGCTGACCCTGAGAAGATTTGCTCGCTTCGATCAAAGCTGCGTTGGCCTCGACCACTTGCTGGTGGAGCCGTTCGTTCTCAGTCTGCTGTTCGCTCAGATTCTTGACTAGATCGTCAAAAGTCGTCTTGAAGTCACGGCCTAGTCCAGCATATGATGCGTGAACCTGGGTATGGAAAGCATCCAGTTCTGTAATGATGTTGGCAGAGATTGTTTCTGCCGCCGCTGACAGCTCATCCAGCCCTGCACCAATCTTCGTCTTAACATCTTCACGAAGAGTTTTGATCTCTTCTAGAACTTCATTCATGTGATCGCGTGCTTGTGCAGTCTGACCATTGACTTCTTGCTCGGATGTCTGGTAAGCCTCCATCTTTTCCTGTAAGAAGGATTGCGAAGTGCCAAGCTTCTCAAGCTCATCTCTGACGAACGATTGCATACGTTCTGATATGGCGTTCATCAGTTGTTCTTGTTGCTGTTGGAACTCCTCAATGCGATCCTCCACCATACGAGTAGTATCAACAACCTGGCTTTGGGAGGAACTCCAATTCCGTCGGTTCTGGGATTGAAGTTCTGACTTGCGCCGGATTTTTGACCGCAGACCATCGATGGCTGATGTAGTCTTGCCGAGCGTTGAGATCATGTCTTTTCCAACTTCTGCCAGCTCTTGCTCAGTCTTCTGGTGCGCCTTCCGTAGCTCCGTCTCTTCTGCCAGGTTTTCGCGAGTGTGCTCCAGAACAATCTCCGTCTTCTCCAATATACCCTTGGTGCCGTCCAAAGCCAGCTGCGTTTGTTCGTTGTCTTTCTTCAAGGTTTGGAAGTTGGTTGTGAGCTTGAACAGGTCTTCCACCTTATTACGGAGGTTGACCTCCATGGTTTCGAGCCGGTCGCGTTGCTCTTCGCTAAGGATTCGTCTCGATTCGCTGACTGTGGTAATCTCCTCATAGTTCTCCTGCGTGAGATAAACACCATTGCGTTGCCGAGTCGCTATCAGTTCGCTCTTCAGCTTCTCGATTTCGGCGGTGTATTCTTTGAGTAGAGTCTTCTTGTTGATGGGCTGGTTCATTTGCGGCTTGTTTCGGATGTTCTTCGCGCGGAATGCGTAATCGAGGGTGGATATCGTTTCTTCGAGATTGCTCTTCGCGGGCGATAATGTTGCGATGATACATGTTTTCGTGCGACCACCTAGTGAATCTTGTAGTAGACGGGTCAGTTTTGATTCCCTGTACGGAATGTGAGAGCTGCGCTCCACGAGCGCGTTGATAACACGACCCAATGTTAGCAAACTCTTGTTGATAAGACCGGCCTCTGCTGCGCGCTTGTTCTCAGCACCGCTGCGTTGGATGTTCTCACTACCCGCAAGATCGACGAGGTTGAGCTTTCCGGCGCTGAGATACTCCTGGCCGTCCTCTGTTGTTCGCTTTATGTAAACAGTGATGGTGAAGACTGTGTGACTTCGCGAACTGAGGTCATTGCATTTGGTCGCAGCTACCTGTCGCTTGTGACTTCCGTTGCGCAACATTGTAATTCCCTCAGTCGCAGTCTTGAGATGGCACTCTTCCATACCCTGAACCATAGTTGTGGTAGAGCCCTTCTTGCTGTTGTCGTCGTAGATCTTGAGTTTCGTCGCGTCGTCCGGAGATAGCAGATCGCGGAGTTCTTCGTTGTATAATTCGATGAATGAACATTTGACCGAATTGTCGATCTCGTCGGCTTCGAGGCGTTCAAAGAGCGCGTACAGGACGCGTGGTACGATACCGGCGGCATCTGGAAGGGGGAGGACGTTTGAGATGTCACCAGTCATGGTGTAGGTTTTACCCGTACCGGTTTGGCCGTATGCGAAGATTGTGCAGTTGAAGCCGTTGATGACCTGTAATGCTGTTAGCAAACTTCGTCGTACTTCTCTCGTCCCAACTCACTTCGTCCAAAATGGGTGCCACAACTTCGTCGTAGATCATGGCCTGGTCGGCTGCTGGAGAGAAGACCTTGTCGAATTGATATGTCTTGTTGCTCAGCGCACTTGGACCCATGGAAAGGTCTACGGCTGTGCCTCTGATTCCGTTGGTCGATACCACAACGCCGCTGTTTTCGCGCACTTCGCGATCATTGCGCCCTCTACATCGGACGACAACGTTGATGTTTGTCTCCTCTCCTCCATCGCCGTCGAAGTCAATTTTTCGCTTGAGGGGTGACGATCGTGGTATCCTCGCGGAAGCTACTGATTCTGCTCTCGAGGAGCGGCCGTCCATCGCAGGTGTTGCCGAACGGCCACGCGCCAGATGAGGGGGGCGCGTCGTGGGAGGGCGCATGCTCGTATTCCGCTTGACCGGCGGTCCTGGTCTTGGTAGTCCAGACATATTGACGTTCTGGGTAGGGTGAACGTGTATGTGCTGGGTTAGTATGTCATGCGTCTGGTGTTGCGGAACCTGCAGCAAAGTAAACAGTCGGTAAACACATGCACGCAGGGATCCGTCAGGCACGGACTGCGCGCTATTAGCCGTCGCGAACACCTCGCGCTACGTCAATGCAGCATGACTTGCATATCTCTATTACACAGTATGTTTATGCCTTGATCTGATGTGATATACCTTATCTATTAATCAGTGTTCCCATGTTATGCAGGATATTGGAAGTCCTCAACAGCGCAAGAGACACGCTGTATACCTCAACGTTTGCCCCGCCACCCCTCATTTATCGCCGCCGTGTCGCGGATTGTACCTGATTGTATAGCGCATCGTGGCAACACCGACTATCCTATCATTCTGAGTCGACTACGTTGATCTTCGTTGTGTGTTCCGGGGGTTGGAAGGATATACCCGTCGCCCTGTCCTCGTGGACATAGCACGCGCGTGCGAGCTCCCTGTTATCTACAAGCTAGGCAGCACATCGACTAGCAAACACATCGCGATTACTTACTACACTCATACACTTACTAAAGACTCACTATGGAAGATGGAATTATGCAGCTTCAGCCAGGGCGCAGTGTAGGGTTCATGAGTTCGTTGCGACCATCGTTTGGGTTACCACGCTGACTGAAACACAGCCCTCGGATGCTCCCTACACGAAGTACTGACGACTATCAAAGCCGAAGTCAAGGCTTTTCCTCGGTTTCAGCTCTACCACGACGAGTTACGACCTATCTCATCCCCCGTTCAGGTCGTTCTTCCAGACAACGGTCTGCGACTACAGTTCGACGGCCCTGACCAGCGGCTGCGCCTCATCGAAGTGCTCGATTTCGCAAAAGCCAAGTTGGTATACAAGGATATCGAAGTGTATAAACCTGGTGAAGTAGGCTTCTCAGGGGGCGTGTCAGGACCGAGGTTCCGGCATGTTTACGACAAGCTTCTGGGACCGACGTATGGCGGAGAGTACATACCCCCGAAGTCAGAAGACCCAGATGCCAGAGGTACCTACAACCTGTCGTATCCGGGAATAGCTTTCAACTTTTCGGTTCAGCACTCTGCATACTCTCCGAAGAAAGACTTCATCTCGCTTCTGTCCTCGTCGGCTACAGGCCCCGCGACATCCATGGCAGTGTTCAATGGTGAATCTTGGCAGAAAGCTCGTGGAACACTGTTCACAGCAACACCGCCAAATCCGAGATCACTAGCCCTAGGCAAAGCAAAGGACGGTGGGCCAGACGAGATCGAAGCGGTCAAAGTACACGGAGAAGGTAGGATAGAGCTTGTCCGGCGGTCTAGTCCCCCGTTCTGGATTGCTCTTAGCGAAACAACGCCTCAGGATCTGATCACGGAGCTTGGCGCTCCTGACTCCATCTATCGTAAGAACGACCATCGGCTATCTATACATAAAGATCGAAGGACGAGCGACGCATCAGATCTCTCGCCCGGTGGGCTTACTCCAGACGATGACTCAGATCACGGCTCGGTGATCAGAAGCGATAACGAAGATGCATGGGAGGATGATGACGAAGCTGCACTAGAGGCTCAGGAGCGAGAAGTTGCAGCGGCCGAGCACTTCTACAACTACTATCACCATGGCTTTGACATCTTGATTTCACAGCCTACTCAGATCTCTCCGCCCTCTCCTACTGCAGAGAGACGGGAGTCGGAGCTGCACAGCCAAGGCGAGCTTAGCGCGCAACCTCTGAACCATCTTACTGCAACCAAGATCATATTCCATGGTAACGTGCCTGGTTCGTATCAGTTTAATCGGCATAGGCGAAGCAGATGGACGCTCGAGCATGTGCCCTCAGCCATGTACCGTGATCCTCTCAGTTCCGAAATGGGCTTCGGAGACATCTCAGGCCGATTAAAGGAAGTCTTCAAACCATATTACGACAACGAAGAGCAGGAGAGGTTACAGCAACGTGGCATGGCTCTGAACAGAGGCTGGGGTGACAGCCCAGGTAGCAGCTGCGAGCTACTCGGAGGATGGGAGGATAGTTCTGGGAAGAAGAGCAAGTTTGCGAATGCTGGCAGTGTCTTGATGGAGGGTGCTGCGGATGTTGGAAACGTAGAACTGTTTGGCTTTCCGGGTATGGTATTCGAAGTGTTGAAGAACGGAGCTGTGAGCTCGTTGACCGTATACTGAGACGGCTTGTCATAACACGTAGTGTGGCGAGGTTATGCACATAAGCCAGTCTGCTCGAGGCATAAGTGCTGGATACGTAGCACGAGTAGTAGACTGGTACACGGTATGGTCATCATGGGTTGCTATTACTACACCAATCGATCTGAACCAATCTTGACAATCAAGTCTTGAAACATATCAAATACAGATGATGTTTATGCCTTCGTATTACTTAAAGAGTCTATATAGTCAGGATTATCCTACTGCGATATCGTGAATTCCAGCAGCATAAGACTCTATCTCCGTGCTAGAGCCGAACCGAGCCGAACCATCACCAAATGAGTAGATCCAAAAATATTGGAACTCCAACCACCACTTCCCCGCCGATTTGCCCGCCCAGGATGCTATTATGCTAACCCCAACACGCATCCTCCGCGCATCATGGTCCAACACTCTCCGACTACCAAAATCTAGTTTTCCGCCGCGGCCGTTAGCGTCAACGAACCCAACCTACCTAAAACGATGCACCGATGACCTGTATGCGTGGCAGGCGAGCCCGGAACGCGTTATACGTTATGGACATTTGGAGAGGCGGTTGGATGAAAAAAAAGGCAAGAAAGAAGGCAGTGCGCCGAGAGAGAGTTTTACTCTGCATGATGGACCGCCATACGCCAATGGCCCGTTGCACATTGGCCATGCATTGAATAAGATCACCAAGGACATCATTTGTAGGCACGAGGTTGGACAAGGGAAGAAGGTGTCGTACATTCCTGGCTGGGATTGCCATGGTCTGCCTATTGAGATCAAAGCTCTGCAGGCGCAAAAGAAGGATGCGGCGCAAGCAGATCCTGTAAGCGTGCGGGACGCGGCGCGCGAATTGGCAACCCGGACAATCGAGGAGCAGAAGAAGGGTTTCAAAGAATGGGCCGTCATGGGTGACTGGGACAATGCATATCAGACAATGGAGCGTGGTTTTGAGATTAGACAACTGGAGGTCTTCAAAGCCATGTTCGAGAAAGGCTTAATCTACAGGCAGTTCAAACCCGTATACTGGAGCCCAAGCTCAAGAACAGCGCTTGCGGAAGCTGAATTGGAATATGACGAGGGGCATAAGAGCTTGGCTGCTTTCGTGCGGTATCCGATACACCTATCGGAGACACTGAAGAACGGAGCGCTAAAGGATGTTGATGGCAAGGTCAGCGTAGTCATCTGGACAACCACACCCTGGACGTTACCCGCGAACAAGGCGATCGCGGTGCACAAGGACATGCAGTACTGTGTAGTCAAGGACGCTGAGAAGGATGGCGAGCTGATCCTTGTTGCGGCTTCACGAGTAGCGGAATACGAGAAAATCCTTGAAAGGAAGCTCGAAATCGTCGTACCAGACGTGCGCGGATCAGATATTGCCGAACAGGTGCAGTACGAGAATCCTTTCCAGAAAGCGAACGGACTGCAGCCTATCATTCATGCGGACTTCGTCACCGACTCTTCTGGTACTGGGCTGGTGCATCTCGCTCCTGGACATGGTATGGACGATTACAATGTGTGCATGGCGCTCAACGTTCCAGCTTTTGCGCCTGTAGATGATGCTGGCGCCTTTACAAAGGATGCGTTTCCTGAACAGCCCGAGCTTCTGGAAGGACTACCTGTTGCTGATATCAAGAAATCGGGTAGTAATGCTGTGTGCAACTATCTCCAGAAACTCGACATGCTCCGAGGCAAGCAGAATTACCGCCACAAGTACCCCATCGACTGGAGGACGAAGGAGCCTGTCATCACGCGAGCTACTGAACAGTGGTTTGCGAACGTAGAGGGTATCAAGGATGCCTCGATGAAAGCGATTGCCAATGTCAACTTCATGCCTGCGACTGGTAGAAGCCGTCTTGAGAGCTTTATTCAGGGACGAAGCCAATGGTGTATCTCGCGACAGCGCGCTTGGGGTGTTCCTATCCCTGCTTTATACAAGGTTGAGGGCGACACTCTGAAAGCGACTATGGACTCTGAAACCATCGACCATGCCATTGAAGTGATCAAAGAACGTGGCATCAACGCGTGGTGGACGGATGCACAAGACGATCCAGCTTGGAAGCCGAAGCACCTTACCGGAACGTACGTGCGTGGTAGAGATACCATGGATGTCTGGTTCGATAGCGGTACCAGTTGGAAGCTTCTTCCTGAGCAAAAGGACCAGCCTGTTGCCGATGTGTACCTGGAAGGAACTGACCAGCATCGTGGATGGTTCCAGTCGTCACTCCTTACTCACGTCGCCACCCAGTCTTACTCGACCGAGACTGTCAAAGCACCATACAAGACTCTGATCACTCACGGCTTCACTCTCGACTCCGATGGTCGCAAGATGAGCAAGTCTCTCGGCAATGTCATCTCTCCAACGCAAATCATGTCAGGCGAGCTCCTTCCACCCGTCAAGCGAAAGAAGCAAAAGGGCGTCAAGCAAGATCCTGCAGCAAAGAACACGCCAACATATGATGCTATGGGTGCCGACGCGCTTCGCCTCTGGGCCGCAAGCAGCGACTATACGCGTGATGTCACAATTGGCCAGCCCGTCTTGATGTCCGTAAACCAAGCTCTACATAAGTACCGTGTTACCTTCAAATGGTTGCTAGGCATCTTCTCTCTGCCATCTTGCCCGCCGCCCTTCACCTCCTTCAACGACCTTACACCCAGTATCACCGAATTCAAAGAACTCACAGATCGCCTCGCAATTCACCGACTTGTACAGGTCAGTGCAGAAGTGCACAACCACTTCGGGAAATATGAGTTCTTCAAGGGTGTCAACGCGATCAACAAGTACATTTCCATGGATTTGAGTGCTTTCTACTTTGAAACGCTCAAAGACCGCGTCTACACCAGCGATAAGAATGACTGCGAAACGCTCCAGCGTGTTTTGGGACTCATTTTCTACGAACTACTGCAGATGCTTGCCCCAGTCTGTCCGCTGCTTGTAGAAGAGGTCTGGGATCACCTTCCTGATGAGCTCAAGGAAAAGAGTAGTCACCCCGCACGCGCGGTTTGGTCGCCTCTTCCCACGCTCAAGGAGTCTGAATCGGCTAGTCTGGAGTCCATGAGTGAGACTACAAGTACACTGGGAGCTGCTATCAAGGTCGCCCAAGAGCGTCTCCGTGCGGACAAGAAGATTGGTTCGAGTTTGGAAAGCGCAGCTACGGTTTACCTACCTTCTTCGAACGCCGAGAAGTTGCACGCAGAGTTCGCGGCGTGCTTACAACCTTCCACTCCCAAGCCCACGGACGTTGAGACTCAGCTTGCTGGCCTTTTCGTTATTAGCGAGGTAAATCTTCGCACTCTGCCTGATCCATCCGCTCTTACGAACAGCGTCTTCACCGCGGAGGATCCCGATGCGATGAAGCAGCAATCGCAGTGGTCCGAAGAAGAAGTACTTTCGAGCGATAGTGGGATGTTAGGTAAAGCGAAGGTGCTTGTACATCCACCTAGCAGAGAGAAGTGTCCAAGGTGTTGGCGCTTCGTCAAGGAAGAACATGAGGAGGTTTGTGGAAGGTGTGGAGATGTTGTTTCGCAGCATGATAATGTATAGATATACTGGCTGCGTCATTTGGATTGTAGCTTTCGAGCTGCATTGTATTTTACTGTAGTCTTTAGATCTAGCGATCACTGCATGTGTATTGAGGTTATACAGGGTTTGGAAAGGAAGCTGTGTTTACTCTTAATGTCTCTCAACCATCTGACTCTTCTTCAAAATCGATCTTAAATTTGGTCCCAGATTCGGCCTTAATGGCGCTGTCAGAGTCAATAGTGTACAGTCTCTCAGCTTTGGGTTTTCATTATGCTCTCGTTCATCTTTGCCCCGATTGTCTCATGAGTCGACCAGGTAGGAAGTTTTGGTACCCAATGTTGTATTCATCTTCTTCTATCGCGCTTTCGCGCTTTCCAGATCTCGTCATGTTCCCCACTGGGTCTTGGTCCTTGGCCGCCCTGCGAAGAGACTGCACCTCTCCGCGAAAGATGCTTCGTGGGTGGATACATGGGGTGAGGCATATCAAAGTCATCTGTTTCTTGTTTATTGCGCATCGCAATCCTAGCTTCCTTGAACTTTGACGTGATCTGATCCCACGAAGTGTCCACAACTTCTTCGCCTTGATATGATAGGTCCGGTCCCATGCTTTCGTCCCATTCAGTACTGTGCACGTCTGGGCTACTCCCACCACCATGCCCTCTATCAACGAAGTGTAGGCTTGAGGCTTCAGAAGACACTTCTGAAGGGGCCCTCGTAGATTGCGAGCTGGAAGCTGATCGGGCGCTTTGATGTGCCATGTCCGATGCTGTGTCCTCTCCCCAAGCAGCCATGAAGTCTGTTCGGGGTATTGCAAACAAGGCAAGCTGTTCAAGATGCCGTGCGAGATGAGACTTCATTTTGCTTGCATGTTTACCACATAATGTGCATGTTCCCGAACGTGCGTTTGAAGGCCGTTGAAAGCCACGATGTAGACTTAGGAGCTGCGCTTGATCGAGAGGTTCTGAATGGATTGTGTGCATGTGATCCAGGAAGTCTTCCACGTCGATGAAAGACTCATGAGACACTGTGTTACAGAACCACTCAACGCGATGTGTATGTGACTCATGGTGAAACCAGTCGTTTTTGTTTTCGAAGAAATGATCATGTAGTTGGCAGTCTGAGTATGTACAAACATACGGTTGAAGGTCGGATAAAACATGTTTCCTTACGTGCAAGTATCAGCGGTATCCTTGAAATCTGCTATTGAATTTACTTACTCCCATCTGCGCTCTGATTCAGCCACTTGAGGGATAGAACAGTAAGGACATATGTACTTCTTCAAAACCTGTCCTTCTTCTGACCTAGGTCGATTCGGAAACCTAACTGTGATTGCATCTGCAGCCTGCTCGGATGCGGCCGAAGATCCGGATTCGGACACCGACTGAACATAAAGTCCTGCCGTCCGCCAGATTGGCGCAATGGGAGCGTTAATTTTCAAGGTTGTCGCTTTCGTTTGCTCTGTTCGTTGACTTGGGGCCTTCAAACTGGGTGCCGCCTCGCTAGCCATATGGACTTTGCGAGGGGAAGATGGGTTGTTGTGTTCGGATTTGTCAGTCACCGTAGTTTCTACATTTTGCAAAGCATCAGTGTGATCTTTGCGATAGCGTATCAGTTGCCTGCGCCTCGATATCATCTTCGCCAGGCGTGCAGCGACTTTTTCGTTAAGGCCAGGGAACTTGTCCCTTACGTACATAAGGTCAAAGGGCAAGTATCCGGTTGTATCAGCAGCGGTTTTGTCCTTTATACGATCGGCCGGTGCAGGACGTCGGATGGGTAGCCTCCAAAGACATTCAACAATGAAATTGATCGAGTCCAACAACGCTGGCTGAGCTGGCGATCGAGCTCGACCAGGTTTTTGATCTGAATTACGTCGAGGCAGTTTCTTTACTGGTAGCTTTTTTACTGGTAGCTTCTCGACCTCAGAGTCAGAGGAAACTTCCCACGGGGAGTCGAACGAGTCCGATGCGTCCGTACTTGCACCTGATGGCTCGGAATCCTCAGCCAAGCGATGAATAGCTGCTTCATGCTCTTTGTCAAAGGTCACCAAGGCTTGCAAAACTCAGGTTAGCGATCTCTTCATGTAGATATTCGATGTGTTTACTATACCTGTGTTCAGCTGAATCTCACGTTTTTGATTAGTTATTGGCCTGAGTTTGAGGGAACTGTAAAAGGCGACAAAAGTGAAACTCAAATTTCTTACACGATTTTGCAGGTCCTGCATCAACTTCAATACCTATAGGTTGGGTGAGTACTGGCGTATCAAATGCAACGAGTCATCCATACCTGACTTTTGTAGAATGACGCCTCTCTCAACCGGTAGTCAAGAGATAACTTGTACTTATTGGCACCATGTATAGCACCAACATTTCCAGCCCAAAGCTTGTATCTATCGAGAACATCCTGCGCTTCGTTCGGACGTTCCTTGTAAGAGGGGGAGTGGGATGCTTCGATGAGTGCGAGGAAAATAGAAACGCAGTCAATGTGAGCTTTTGAAATTGACAAATCCATCTCTGTAAGATAACATCTCGTTGCTGAAGTGGTCGAGAGATCGTGCGGATAACACGAGAGAGCTGAGATGTGGTTACGAAGGCTGCAGACGAGACCACGTGGTTCAGCTGACGACTAGAGCTCTTCGAGCTTAGCAACAGAGCTGAGAAAGCACACCTTCTCTTCAGCCTGATCTATCCTCTATACTGCTTTTCTGCAATCCATCACTCAGCGATTTCTAGGACCTCTGACTCTATCGTTCGTCTTCTATATCGCTTACACATCCCGTTGTTATTCCCCCGATGTTGACAGTCTGACCGATTAGCGGCATCACAAGCTCCCTCGCCATGTCCGGATTTGAGATAGCTGGGGTAGTACTGGGATCAATTCCGTTGATCATATCAGCTTTGGAGCACTATGCTGAAGGGGTATGTAGTGCAAATGCATCACACGTCATGACTGATGCCATTCCAGCTCTCAACCATAAGAAGCATGCAAAAGTACGAGGAAGTATTCGGATATCTTCATGCTTCTTTCGTAACTATTGCTTGCATCTACAGAAATTCCTGTGAAGAGCTTTTGAGTCCGTTAGCTCTTTCTGATGCTCAACTATCCCAGCTTCTTGAGAATCGCGAAAGTTCGGCATGGGAGAAACCAGAACTGAGCGATGCTTTGCGCAATCGATTGGGAAGCAACTATCTGCCCTTCAAGTCTTCTGTGAAGCAATTAAACAAGAAAATCAACCTTTTCGGGCGCAAGTTGCAGCTAGACAAGAATTTTCAGGTATGTACGACGTGGTGCAACAAAGAAGGAACACCTGCTAAGGGATAGTAGCCACCGTGGACTACAGCAACAGGATGTGTCGATACGGCGGCACGAAACAAATTCTTCAGCGATCCCTGGATCCGCATAAAAGGAGGGTTCAAATCGAAACACTACAAAGAATTGCTATCATCTATTGAAGAGGACATTAGCCGTATATCCAATCTTACGGCAGGGGCGATTGCGCTTGAACCATTGCGAATTGAAAGAATACGCAAAGCCAACACGGAGTATCTGATCAAATTTCGTCAGCAGGCAGAGAAACTATACGACGCTTTCAACACACGATGGTCATCAAGGTGCATGTGCCAATGCACACATCAAGCAAATTTGCGTCTTGATATACAGAAAGACGATGAAGCAGGTCAATCTTCTACATTCAAACTTGTATTCACTTTCGGCTCGTTACACGCTGGAACAACTACCCCTTGGAAGTCTATTCCAGTGGAGATCGAGGCTGTTGATGTCATTGATACGCCAAAACCATTCAACAGCTCACCGCTTCCTAGTATTATAGTTCACTCGAACATCAAAGCACACGACCACTGGAAGTGCCTAAAGCGAGCTCCAGACATAGTCGATCTATGTGCGACACTGCAACGCTGTCCAAGCCCGGACTGCATAGGGGTAATGAGCAGCAAGCTCGCCAAGCACCACATCCACACTTTTCACTCACCCAGCGCAAAAACGACCGACAAGCGAGTCACCTTACAGGAAATTATGACGAAACAGGGTACAACCTTCCAGATCAAGGAAAAGTGCACACTAGCTCTCACCCTTGCTTCTGCGGTCTACCACCTCCACAACACACCCTGGCTAGAAGAAACCTGGGATCTCAATGACATATGCATACTGAGCCAGTCCTTGCTATCCGACCAGCCATACATATCGCGTGATTTTCCTGCTATAGCTGCACCACCAGCACAGAGCCAAAGGATGCGCATCATCAAGAACGGCATCATCTTCGCTCTCGGCGTCGCGCTGCTAGAGATCTCCTATGGCAAGCCTTTGAACACGTTTGTCACTCCAGAAGACCTCGACGCGAATGGCAACAGTACAGCTTTCACCGATTATCTCATAGCGGATCGTTTGGCCGAAGGCTTGCGAACGAGGGAGTTGCCAAACTATGCTGATGCGACGCAGAGGTGTATACATTGTAACTTTGAAGCTTCGGTATATAGTCTCGACGACGATGATTTCAGGGAGAGATTCTATAAGGGGGTTATTGTGCCGTTAAGGAAGGACTACGAGTATGTTGTTAGTACTGCCGTAGCGTAAAGTGTCTGGAGGGTAGTATACTTGGAGTGAATCACAACCGTTTAGAGCATCAAGGCATCACTGTCACGTCGCTTGATCTACAGCTACATCAATCGAGAACTCAGAAACATGTGCACCATGTACAAGAACTCGATCTCGAAGCACATGAGTAGATTACACCTGAGGTAGGTATTCAGGAGCTATGCGTATTGGCCACTGCTCCACTTAGTGGGACCGCGGAGCGTTACTCCGCATGTCAAGCGCTTCACTTGTGTGCCATCCCGCCGTTCCCAACGTTCTTGTTTCTGTAGTCAAAACCAATAGCGTCACCTATCATACTGGCTCCTACTATGAAGACTGCGCTGCTACGCAGCACTCGCATGTTTCCCTCTGATGTAGCACAAACAAACGTTCGGAGATCTTGGCTGCAAAGCGTTTAGCCTCCAGATACCGGG